TACAGCTCGAAGGCGCTGCTGGTGAGGGGCCTTTTCAGCGACGCGCAGCACTGCCGTCGCTTTGAAGGATTTAAAGTTGCTGTTCTTTTGGCTAGCAAGCAAGAAACAGAGGCCCAGCTAGCTAGCCACCAGCAGCTAGCTAGCCACCAGCAGCTAGCTAGCCACCAGCAGCTAGCTAGCCACCAGCAGCTAGCTAGCCAGCAGCAGCAGCTCGCTGGGCAGCAGCAGCAGCTCGCGGGGCAGCAGCAGCAGCAGCAGCTAGCTAGCCACCAGCAGCAGCAGCTAGCTAGCCAGCAGCAGCAGCAGCAGCTAGCTAGCCAGCAGCAGCAGCTAGCTAGCCAAGACACTTCGGACCTTTTCAACGCATGCACAGCCATCTGCACACCAGCAATGGCAGAATGGGGGGCCCCCACTGGGGCCTTTCCGGGGGGCCCCCCGGGGGGCCCCCCTCATGGGGGCCCCCCGGGGGGGCCCCCTAACAGCGGAGGGGGGCCCCCAAGGGGGGCCCCCAGGGGGGCCCCCAGGGGGGCCCCCAGGGGGGTCTTTGCTGCAGCAGGTCGTGTGGGGCCCCCCTTTGGAGGAAAAGGAAAGTGCAGAATTGAATTGGAAGAAGAGTTGAGGTGTACAGACACCCCAGGCTGCGGGGGTTTGGGAAAGGCGCAGCTGAGTGTTGTTTTGATGTACTGCAAGACTTGTGCGGAGAAGCAGCAGCAAATACTTCAACCCTAAACCCTAAACCCTAAACCCTAAACCCTAAACCCTAAGCCCTTGGCGAGGGAAGGCGCTACGATGAGGCGCAGGAGGGCCTGAGCGTCTTGCGCCGAGCAGCAGCAGCAGCAGCAGCAGCAGCAGCAGCAGCAGCCGCTGCTGCTGCTGCTGCTGCGGGTGGGCAGCAGCAACAGCTGCCGCTGCTGACGCTGTTGCAGCAGCTGCTGCTGCTGCTGCAGCAGCTGCTCATGCTGCTGCTGCCACAATTTTTGACCATTCGGCTGTTTAGCTTTTTTCCCCTCTAAAGGGCCAACCGCCTTCTGGGGTTTAGGGCTTAGGGTTTAGGGTTTAGGGGGTTGAGTTTTGTGTTGCAGTTTCAGGGTTTAGAAGCAGGATTTAGGGTTTACGGTTTAGGGTTTAGGGTTTAGGGCTTAGGGTTTAGCAGCAAATAAGGAATTAGGGTTTATGGTTTTGAGCTCCGGCTTAGGCTCGAGAAAGAGGCCAGGAGATAAGGCATGCAATTTAGGGTTTGGAGCCACGTTTTAGGGTTTAGGGTTTAGGGCTTTTAGGGTTTAAGGCTTTTAGGGTTTAGGGTTTAGGGTTTAGGGTTTAGGGTTGGCTGCATGCAGTTGGCAGCCAAACAGTGAACTTGTTGGCTAAATTGTCTTTTTACTTCACAGGAGTGGCCTATTAAATAATTAAATTATTTATTTATTTATTTGTTTATATCTTTTGTTTATTTATTTATTTATTTATTTATTTATTTATTTATTTATTTATTTATTTATTTATTTATTTATTTATTTGCCTTACTTTGCTTCCGTCTAAAAGACAGCAACAGAATTTATGACATTTTTTGGTTTATTAAAGTTACCTTTGCAATTTCTCTGTCTCAAACCCTAAACCCTAAACCCTAAACCTCAAACCCTAAACCCTAAACCCTAAACCCTAGGCTTTAGACTGTAGGCTCTGATCTTCAAGCCCCATTCCATTCGGAAACCCTAATTAGGGCAGCAAACCCTCACTAAGGCAGTAAACCCTAATTTAGGGTTTGAGTCTTACTCTAAGCAGTAAACCCTAACCCTGTGGCTCCAGAGCAAAGCCCTAGGCCCCAAACCCTAGCTAAAACCCTAAACCCTAATCGAGGGTTTTTCTCAGATTGCTTTCAGAAAAAACATAAAAAGGCAAAGTCCTCAGGTTGAACTTTTTAAAATGTTTTATTTTAAATTGGCTCTTGTTTTTATTTAAAAGCAGCAGCAAAAGAGACATTTCTGCTTCCCTCAGGTCCCCACAGCGCTGCTGCTGCTGCTGCTGCTGCTGCTGCTGCTGCTGCTGCTGGTGTTGCTGCTGCGCTTGCATGCAGCAGCAGCATTGCGTGCTTCCTGCAGCAGCTGCTGCGTCTCCTGCAGCAGCTGCTGCGCCTCTTGCTGCAGTTCATTCCGCAGCAGCTCGCACTCTCTTATCAAATTCCATTCAAACAAACCCTCACGCTTTACCCCCAGGGGGCCCCCTTGGGGGCCCCCTTGGGGGCCCCCTTGGGGACCCCCTTGGGGGCCCCCTAGGGGGCCCCCTTGGGGTCCCCCTAGGGGGGCCCCCTGGGGGCCCCCCTGGGCCCCCGTAGGGGGGCCCCCATGGGGCCCCTCAGGGCTTCCAGGGGCCCCTGGGGCCCCGCAGGGGTTCACTTCTTTCCCAGGGGCCCCCGTAAGCTTCGGGGGCCCCTGAGGCCCCACATCTGCTGGGGCCCCGGGGGCCCCAGGGGCCCCCGGGGCCCCTGGGGGCCCCCGGGGCCCCTGGGGGCCCCCCTGTGTGGGTATTTGTGTGGGGTTTAATAAGTTCGAATTGAATGTTTTTATTCTTTTGGATTGTTCTGCCTTTTGTTTGAGGGTTTGGAGTGTTTCTAGAGCTTGCTGCATGCTGCGGCGGAAGTTTTTGCTGCGCTGCTGGGCAGCAGCAGCAGCAGCAGCAGCAGCAGCAGCAGACACGCGCGGCAGCAGCAGCCGCTGCCCATCTAAGACTGTCAAGCGCGTGGCTCTTCTGCAAGCGCCTAAAAGCAAAAAGACACAAACTCACAACAGCAATTTGCTGCTGCTGCTGCTGCTTGTGCTGCTGCTGCTCGTGCTGCTGCTGCTGCTGCTTGTGCTGCTGCTGCTCGTGCTGCTGCTGCTGATGCTTGTGCTGCTGTTGACGCTGCTGCTGCTGCTGCATGCGTTTGTGCAGCTACTGCCGCTGTGCTGCTCGTGCTGCTTTTGCTGCTGTTCGTGGGGCAGTTGGTAGTGCTGTGCTGCTGCTGCTGCTGCTGCTGCTGCTGCTGCTCTTTTTTCTGCTTTTGGTTTGTGTTTTATTTAAATTTGACTGCTAGCGGGGCTAAGCTTGTTGCTGCTGAGGGGCACACTGCTGCTGCTGCTGCTGCTGCTGCTGCTGCAGCTGGAGGCCCCGTGTGCAGCAGCAGCAAATTAAATATATGTTTCTTTTTTGCTATTTCTTATTTTTTGTTTTTCTGCAAAAAGTGTCTGTTGTCGCAGGTCTAAAAGGAAAACAAATTAAATTAAAAAAGAAAACAAATTAAATTAAAAAAGAAAACAAATTAAATTAAAAAAGAAAACAAATTAAATTAAAAAAGAAAACAAATTAAATTAAATGCTTTAAATAAAAATGCAAATTTAAAAAAACATTTACGGGAGAATGCATGCGGCTCAGGTGTACGTACACCCCAGCGCCCTTTGCTGCTGCGCTGCTGCAGCAGCTTCAAGAGCAGCAAAAAAGGTGAAAAAAAGCTAAAACATTTGCTAGCTTCAGAGCAGCAGCAGCAGCAGCAGCAGCAGCAGCAGCAGCAGCAGCAGCAGCAGCAGCAGCAGCAAAAGGAGCAGCAAAAGGGAGAAAAAGAGGCACTTTTTGCTTCTTTTACCCACTTGAAACCCCACAAGGCGGCAGCAACTCGCACACCGACTTTTCGTAGTTTTGGAGTGTACAGACAGGTGCTTTCTTTTCGCCATTTGCGGCCTGCAAATGAAGAGCCCTTAAAGAACCAAAAGCAGACAAAGGCTCCAGCGCCTGCAGCAGCAGCAGCAGCAGCAGCAAGAGCAGCAGCAGCGCGTGGGCAGCAATAGCAGCAGCAGCAGCAAGAGCAGCAGCAGCGAGGGGGCAGCAATAGCGGCAGCAGCAGCAGCAGGAGCAGCAGCAGCGGGGGGACAGCATTAGTAGCAGCAGCAGCAGAAAGAGCAGCAGCAGCGAGGGGGCAGCAATAGCAGCAGCAGAAACAGCAGCAAGGGGGCAGCAAGAGCAGCAGCAGCAACAGCAGCAAGGGGGCAGCAATAGCAGCAGCAAGAGCAGCAGCAGCAAGGGGGCTGCAACAGCAGCAGGAGCAGCAAAGGGAGCAGGAACAAGAGCAAGAGCAGCAGCAGGAGCAGCAGCAGGAGCAGCAGCAGGAACAGCAGCAGGAACAGCAGCAGAAGCAGCAACGGGGCAGCAACGCAAGCAGCAGCAAGAGCAGCAACGGGAGCAGTAACATCAGTAGGACCAACAGCAGCAGCAGCAGCGGTAGCAGCAGCAGCAGCAGCAGTAGCAGCAGCAGCAGTAGGAGCAGCAGCAGCAGCAGCAGCAAAAAGGACAGCCACTGGAGAGGCATTGGATTTTCTCCATCACCAGTAGCTGCAGCAAGAGCTGCTGGGCACGCAGGAACAGCAGCAGCAGCAGCAGCTGCTGCTGCTGCTGCTGCAGCAGCAGCAGCAGCTGCTGCAGCAGCAGCAGCTCTAGTTTTCGTCCCCTATCCTCCCTTCTCTCTTTTATTTTTGTTTGTTTCTTTTATCATTTTATTAATTAATTAATTAATTAATTAATTATTTATTTTTTTATTTTATTAATTATTTATTTATTTATTTAATGAATCTCTTTTGTCTCTGAGCCAGAACTAGCGCGCCCATCGCCAGCCAAGTTGCTGCTAGGGTTTAGGGTTTAGGGTTTAGGGTTTAGGGTTTAGGTACTTCTAGGGTTTCAATGGGGTTTCCTATGAGGGAGATCTCTTCAAGTTTTGGGAGGCCCTTGAGGCCCTGGAGGGTTTTGATTTTGTTTTCCGGCAGCAGCAGCCGCTGCAGCTGCAGCAAGTTGCAGCAGCAGCAAGGGTCTGAGATGCTGCAGCGCTGCAGCAGCAGCAGCAGCAAGTTGCTGCAGCAGCAAAGCTCGCGCAGCGCAGCCTCAGGCAGCTCGCAGTCCGACAGACACAGCACAGTGACTGTGCAAGGAGACCAGTGGCCCGTGACCACTCGCAGCACCTGCCACTTTTTGCTGCTGCTGCTGCTGCTGCTGCTGCTGCTGCTGCTGCTGCTGCTGTCGCTGCTGCTGCTGCTGCTGCAGATGGGGTCGATTGTGTCTTCTTCAGGGACTAAGTAAGAGCTCATGTCCACGTAGGAGGGGCCCCGGGGGCTGGTGGGCCCCCTGGCCTGTTCTTCTGCTGCTGCTGCTGCTGCTGCTGCAACAGCAACAGCAGCATCGGCAGCAACAGCAGCAACGGCGTTCGGCTGCATCCGCGGGTGGCTGCCTGCTGCTATTTTCCCCTTTATCTCTTTGTCTTCTATTTTTATTTAATTAAATTTATTTAATTCCCTTTTTATAAATCATTTTCTGCGCTCCCGAACCGCCAGACCTGCCTAGACACCCCAACGGACCAGCCCCACCGCCCGGGGGCCCCCAGCGCTCGCTGCTGCTGCTGCTTGCATGCAGCGGCTTCTTTTAAAGTCTAAAAGAAGTTAAATAAATCTAAATTACTTTTTTTATCATTTATTTTTAATTTAAAAGTCATAAAACGCGGACTCTCCCCGCGGGCCCCACACCCCTTCTTCCACCCCCGATACACTGCCCAGTTCCCGCCAGCAGCAGCAGCAGCAGCAGCAGCAGCAGCAGCAGCAGCAGCAGCAGCGCGAGATCATCCCTAGGCTTCTTCAGGGCCCTCACGTGGCCCTGAAGAGCTCACGAGGGCCTCTGGGGGCCCCCAAAGAGCACCCAGGGGCCCCAGGGGGGCCCCCCAGCTAGACCCTTTGCTGTACCCTTTTCTTAGGGGGCCCCCAAGACCCCCCAGACTTGTGAAGTGACCTTCCCCCACTTAGCGCATGCAGGGGCCCCACAGTCTTCCGCAGGGGCCCCCGGGGATTCCCCTGGGGGCCCCCAGGGGGCCCCCCGGGGGGGCCCCCAGAGGGGCCCCCAGGGGGGCCCCGCAGGGGGCCCCCCAGGGGCCCCCCATGGGGGGCCCCCCGGTGCCGCCGCTGGGGGCCCCCAAGGGGGCCCCTAGTGGAATACCCTGTTATTTGAAGAATCGTCTTTTCCTGTCTATTTTTTTGTTAGCTTTATTTGCTGCTGCTGCTACTGCTGCTGCTGCTGTGTCTGTGGTGCCCCCTACCCCAGCAGCAGCAGCAGCAGCAGCAGCAGCAGCAGCAGCAGCAACGAAGGATACAGGGGGCCCCCCAGATTTGCTGCGGGGGCCCCGGGGGAAGCAAAAGGGCCCCTGTTTGGCCTTTTTGCAGCAGCAGCAGAGGATGGGGGCCCCCCTTGGGGGCCCCCTGGGGGCCCCCTTGCAGCGTGTAGTAGCTGGTGGTGGCCGGCCAGCAGCAGCAGCAGCAGCAGCAGCAGCAGGGGAGCCCGGTGTGGGGCCCCACAGCAGCAGCAACGGGGGCCTCGTGCTGCCCGGCAAGTACTGCTGCAGCAGCAGCAGCAGCAGCAGCACGAAGCGGCTGCCCACGAGGACTGTAGTGGTTGGAGGTGGGGAGTTGGGGGCGAAAGTGTTTGATTTGCTGCATGCGCAGCCCCTGCAGCAGCAGCAGCAGCAGCAGCAGCAGCAGCAGCAGCAGCTGCAGCAGCTGCTGCAGCAGCAGCAGCAGCAGCAGGGAGGCCCAGGGGCCCCCGTCCTCATTGGGGGCTCTCATCCCATAGTGCTGCAGACGATGACAAACTCCGACACGAGAGACGTGGAAGGCACAGTGCAGCAGGTGCTGCTGCTGCTGCTGCTGCTGCTGCGCTTTATTTGCTGCTGCTGCTGCTGCTGCTGCTGTTGTTGCTGTTTACCGCAGCAGCAGCTGCTGCTGCAGCTGCTTGTGGTGTTCCTTTGCTGCTTCTGCTTTCTTTCGGCAACCGTTGCTTTGTTGCCGTTCCATTGAGCTGCTATCCGCCACTGCTGCTGCTGCTGCTGCTGCTGCTGCTGCTGCTGCTGCTGCTGCTGCTGCTGCTGCTGCTGCTGCTGCTTAGGTGCTGCGCTGCGCTGCAGCAGGAGCGGATATGGTGCGGCTGACAGTGCAGGGGGCGAAAGAGGCAGCAGCAAGTGCTGCTATTGTTAGCCGACTAAGAGAAGTATAAATAAATAAATAAATAAATAAATAAATAAATAAATAAATAAATAAATAAATAAATAAATAAATAAATAAATAAATAAATAAATAAATAAATAAATAAATAAATAAATAAATAAATAAATAAATAAATAAATAAATGAATAATAAATAAATAAATAAATAAATAAATAAATAAATAAATAATAAAATGAATTAAAAGATTCTGAGGGATAGTTCAGAAGGCAGGAGGGGAGAAAAGAAGTTATTAACTCTTTTGGGATTTTAAAGTGAATTTTTTTCTGTGCTGTTTGCTGCTGCTGCTGCTGCTGTTGCTGCTGCTGCTGCTGCTGCTGCTGTTGCTGCTGCTGCTGCTCCTGCTGTTGCTACTGTCGTCATTACTGCTTTTGCTGCTGCTGCTGCCACTGTTGCTGCTGTTCCTATTGAACCTGCTGCTGCATCTACTGCTGCGCCTACTGCTGCATCTACTGCTTCTGCTTCCGCTGCTGCTGCTGCTGCTGCTGCTGCTGCTGTTCCTACTGCACCTACTGCTGCATCTACTGCTGCATTTACTACTGCATCTACTGCTGCTGCTGCTGCTGCTGCTGCTGCATCTCCTGCTGCTCTACTACTGCTGCTGCTGCACCTACTGCATCTACTGCTGCTTTACTGCTGCTGCTGCTGCACCTACTGCTGCATCTACTGCTCCTCTACTGCTGCTGCTGCTGCACCTACTGCTGCATCTGCTGCTGCTGCTGCTGCTGCTGCTGCTCTACTGCTGCTGCTGCTGCTGCTGCTGCTGCAGCTGGGGTGCTGGGTGCCGCTGGTGGCGGACATTCACTTCCAGCCTCGAGTTGCTTCTCTTTGCGTTTCTGTCTTCGACAAAATTCGAATTAATCCTGGAAACTTCGTGGACGGAAGAAAGGTTTGGGAAGATGCAGCAGCAAACGAAAAAGAAATTAAAAAAGAAATCAAAAAAGAAATCAAAAATGAAATCCAAAAAGATATCCAAATACCCCAACACACACAAGAGCAGACGCTTCAAGATCCAGAAGGTCCGTTCGCAGCAGCAGCAGCAGCAGCAGCAGCAGCAGCAGCAGCAGCAGCTGCAGCAGCAGCAGCAGCAGCGGCGCAAGAAGCGTGAAATTTAGTTGTATAATAAAAATAAAAATATAAAAGATTTGTATATAAATATAAATAAATGGATATAAATGTAAGTTATAAAAATGAATATAAAATAAATAAGAAGGCAAGTAAGGATTAAAGATTAGAAGCGGGATTTGCTGCGAGTGTGGCTGCGTGTGCGTGTTGCTGCAGCAGCAGCAGCAGCAGCAGCAGCAGCTGCTGCTGCTGCAGAGGCAGCAGCGGGAAGCAGCTTGTCGCTGTCTGCTGCGGCTCTGGGGCCCCTGCTGGGCCCCTGGGGCTGCTCCGAAGGGCTCTTTGAGCTGCTGCCGATTGCAGAAAGAAAAAAGTTCAAAGAAGGAAATGAAAAGATTCGGGAGAAGTTCATTCCGTTGGTGGAGGAGTGTCTGTACAGCCGGCGGGCGCTGCGGATCGGCGTGAACCACGGGTGGGAAGGCGGCGTTTTTTTCGGTTTCTCGGCGGATTTGCGTCGAATTAATTCCATTTTTGAAAATAATTGAATTAAAATGCATTTTAATTTAATTATTTAAATAAAAAACGCCAAAAAACGCTCCAAACGCGGCTGCCGGGCGACGTACACCGCCGCTGCGCTGCGGTGTACGTACAGCTCGCGCTCCGCGCGCATGCGCTGCGGTGTACGTACAGCTCGCTCTCCGCGCGCATGCTCCGCGCCTTCGGAGACTCTCCTTTGGGATTAGTTTTATCTGCTTTTGAATTTGGAGATCTTTGCATTCAAAACAACTTCTTCAACTTTCTCTTTTCCCTCAAAAGCAGCAACACTTTCGTCATGCAGCAAACTTACAAACTCATGGCAGCTCTTATGAGCAGCAGAAGTTCTCTCTTTCCCCTCCACTTGGGAGTTACGGAGGCCGGAGAAGGTAATGGCAATTTTTAATTAATTAATTAATTAATTAATTAATTAATTAATTAATTAATTAATTAATTAATTAATTAGTTTGTTTAATTGTTTAATTATTGTTTAGTTTGTTTAATTAATTAATTAATTAATTAATTAGTTTATTTAATCAATTATTTAATTACTTAATTATTTAATTATTTAATTATTTAATTATTTAATTAGTTTGTTTCATTAATCAATTAATTAATTAATCAATTAATTAGTTTGTTTAATTAATTAATTAATTAATTAGTTCAATTAATCATTTATTTTTTCAACTTATTTGTTTGTCTAATTGATTATTTATTTATTTATTTATTTATTTGAGTGGTTCGTTTAATTAATTAATTAACTAATTAATTAATAATTTAATTAGTGTGTTTGACTCATTAGTTTGCTTAATTAATTAATTATCTGATTAGTTTGTTTAATTAATTAATTAATTAAATTAATTAGTTTGCGTAATTAATTAATTATTTGTCTATTTACCTATCTAATTGGTTTGTTTAATTAATTAATTAAGTAATTAATTAATTAGATCGTTTAACTGGTGAATTAATTAATTAATTAATTAATTAATTAATTAATTAATTAATTAATTAATTAATTAATTAATTAATTAATTCAAGTACACCATCTAATTAATTAATTAATTAATTAATTAATTAGATGGTGAACTTGACAAGTTAATTAATCAATTCATTAATTAACCAGTTAATGAGATAGTTTAATTAGTTAGATAATTTGCTAATTAATGAGTTAATTAATTAATTAATTAATTAATTAATTAATTAATTAATTAATTAATTAATTAAATGATTCATGAATTAACTAGTTAATTGACGAGACAGCAGCAGCAGCAGCAACAGCAGCAGCATTTGCAGCAGCACCACCACCAGCTCCAGCAGAACCAGCAGCAGCAGCAACAGCACCAGCAGCAACAGCACGAGCAGCAACAGCACTAGCAGCAGCAGCAGCAGCACAAGCAGCAACAGCACTAGCAGCAGCACCAGCAGCAACAGCACGAGCAGCAACAGCACTAGCAGCAGCAGCAGCAGCACAAGCAGCAACAGCACTAGCAGCAGCAGCAGCAGCACGAGCAGCAACAGCACTAGCAGCAGCAGCAGCAGCACAAGCAGCAACAGCACTAGCAGCAGCAGCAGCAGCAGCAGCAGCAGCAGCAGCAGCAGCAAGTTTGTTTTGCTGCTGCAGGGGAAGACGGGCGTTTGAAGTCTGCTGCTGGGATCGGCTGTCTCCTTCAAGACGGGATCGGAGACACCATAAGAGTGTCTTTGACAGAAGACCCTTGGGCTGAATTGCCAGTTTGCAGATATCTCAGAAAGCTGCAGCACTACAAGCTGCAGCAGCAGCAGCAGCAGCAGCAGCAGCAGCAGCAGCAGCAGCGGCGGCGGGGGCGGGAGCAGCAGCAGCGGGAGCGGCTGCGGGCCGGGCGCGGCGCGGATGCGGCGGCCGGGCGTTTTGCTGCTGCGGATGCTGCTGCAGCAGCAGACCCAGCAGCAGCAGCAGCAGCACAAATAGCAGCAGCAGCAGATGCAGCAGCAGACGCAGCAGCAGCAGCAGCAGATGCCATTCCACCTTTTAAGGAAACCTTCCGCGACTTCGCCTCCATCACGCGGAGAAAGCTGCGGCTCATTCCCCCAGCAGCAGCACCAGCAGCAGCAGCAGCAGCACCAGCTGCAGCAGCAGCAGCAGCACCAGCAGCAGCAGCAGCAGCACCAGCAGCGCCTGCTGCTTCTATTCTGCACCGCGATGGCTCTGTGGTGGTGGCTGTAAGCCCCCAGGATCTGGTGGACTCTGTAAGTGCAGCAAGAGGAGACAAACCCTAAACCCTAAACCCTAAACCCTAAACCCTAAACCCTAAACCCTAAACCCTAAACCCTAAACCCTAGGTAGAAAGAAGCGAGTGCACAGGGCTGCTGCTGCTGCTGCAGCTCCTTGGCCTCATTACTTCTCTTCTTTTGTCTCTTCATTTATATTTATATTTATATTTATATTTATATTTATATTTATATTTATATTTATATTTATATTTATTTATATTTATTTCTTTTTGTCTCTTTTGAATCTGGAAAATATAAATGGGCCAAAAGGCCTTTTTAGTGTTTTCTGGAAAAGCTGCTGCATGCAAAAGGCCTTCACCGCAGCAGCAGCAGCAGGAGCAGCTGCTGCTGCAACAGCTGCTGCTGCTCCTGCTGCTGCAGCTGCTGCTGCAGCTGCTGCTGCTGCAGCAGCTGCTGCTGCAGCAGCTGCTGCTGCAGCTGCTGCTGCTGCTGCGGTGGCAAAGCCTGCTTGCAAAGAAGCGAGAAAGGAGACAATTGGAGACAGCAAATGAATTTGGAAATAGCAAAAAGAAAAGAAATAAAAAATAAATAAATAAAAATAAAAAAATAAAAATAAAAAATAAAAAGTTGTGGGGTGGCTGCGCATGCAGAGCTGTCTGTACACCTCACTGGGGCTGCGGCTCGTCAAAGGCCTTCCTTTCAAAACGCAAATGAGTGCTGATGGAATTTATTTAGAGACTCTTTTCTTTCCCCAGCAGCAGCAGCAGCAGCAGCAGCAGCAGCAGCAGCAGCAGCAGCAGCAGCAGCAGCAGCAGCAGCAGAGCCAGAGGGCGCGGCAGACGGTCAAGGAGCTGCTGCAGGCGGGGGTTAGCGTGTGGGCCCCAGCAGCAGATATTCAGCAGGTGCAGATGGCGCAGGAGCAGCTGCAGCAGCAGCAGCAGCAGCTGCAGCAGCAGCAGCAGCAGCTGCAGCTGCAGCAGCAGCAGCTGCAGCAACTGCGGCAGCAGCAGCAGCAGCAGGAGCAGGAGCAGGAGCAGCAGCAGCTGGAGCAGTACCAGCAGCAGCTGGAGCAGCAGGAGCAGCTGCTGCAGCAGCAGCAGCTGCTGCTGCAGCAGCAGCAGCAGCAGCTGGAAGCTGCTTCTTTGTACTGGCCAGGCCTTGTTGCTGTGCAGAGACTCTGCGATGCTGCTGCTGTGGGGCCCCACATCTCAGCAGCTTATTTAAAGGAGACAGCAGCAGCAGCATTTGCTGCTGATGGCACGGAGACTCTTCAGGAAGTGGAAGCTGTCGTCAACAGACCCGTCAGAACGCTGCTGCTGCTGCTGCTGCTGCTGCTGCTGCTGCTGCTGCTGCTGCTGCTGCTGCTGCTGCTGCTGCTGATTGCCGGTTTCCACTTCCTTGTTTATTTGCATGCGCATCGGTAAATCGGATGAATAAAATATATTTTTTTTAATTTTAAATTTGTTTGTTTTAATTTTTAATTTATTTGTTTTCATTTTAAATTTATTTGAGTTGCTGCAGCTGCTGCAGCAGCTGCAGCAACTCTAAAAGTGTTTCTTTTTTCATCTTTTTAAATGCCTTTTTTTCTTTTTTCTTTTTTTGTTTTCTTTTTGTTTTTTGTCTCTTTTTGTTTTCTTTTGTCTCTTTTCTTTTCTCTCTGTGTTCTTTTGTCTCCTCCAGTCTTTTTTATTTCTTTCCTTTTTATTTCTTTTTGTTTTTATTTCTTTTTTATTTCTTTTTTATTTCTTTTTTATTTCTTTTTTGTTTCTTTTTAGATTCTTTTAATTTCGTTTTTATTTCTTTTATATCCTTTTAGGCCCTTTTGAGCTGCATTGCGTGGGGTGTATGTACAGGTGTCCTCTCCAGGGTTTAGGGTTTAGGGTTTAGGGTTTAGGGTTTAGGGTTTAGGGATTAGAATTAAGTGTCGAGGAAGTGCAAAAAAGCTTCTAAAGAAGATGTCATCGAATTAATTAAAATGAGAGAAGAAGATCTGGGTCTAGGATTTAGGGTTTAGGGTTTAGGGTTTAGGGTTTAGGGTTTAGGGTTTAGGACAGGGTGTGGGGTGTGGGGTGTATGTACAGCTGTCTCTGTTTTGGGGGTGGAATGTGGGGCCTTTGCTGCTGGAGGGGCTGAGCGAGGGCCTGCTGCTGCAGCCGCAGCAGCAGCAGCAGCAGCAGCAGCAGCAGCAGCAGCAGCAAATGTCAATTCTGGAAAAGACACAAAAGGGCCTCGGGCTGCTGCAGGCCTGCCGCCTCCGCAGCAGCAAAACAGAATTTATTTCTTGTCCTTCTTGTGGGCGGACTTTGTTTGACATTCAGGTAGAAGTTATTTAATTAAATAAAATAAAATAAAATAAAATAAAATAATTAATTATTTAAATTAATTATTTAAATTAGTTTAATTAAATGAATTAAATTGAATTAGTTTAATTAATTCAATTAATTTATTTAATTTAATTAGTTTAATTGGGTTAAATAATTGATTAATTTGAATTAGTGAATTTAAATTAGTTTAATTAATTAAATTAAATTAAATTAAATTAAATAATTAATTAATTTAAATTAATTAGTTTAAATTAATCAATTTAAATTAATTAAATTAAATTAGTAGAATAAAATGAAGTCAGTAAATACCCAATTGAAATGAAATTAAATGAAAAATCTTTCTGAGATTTTGAAAAAGCAATTAAAAGAATTTCTTTTAAAATAAAAAAATTTAAAATCATTTTTCATTTCATTTAAATAAAATAATTAAAAAAATAATTTTTGTTTAAAAGAAGAAAGAAATAAAAAACAACTTAAATTCGCCAAAATTGCAATCTTTTTTTTAATTTTTTTCAATTTTTTTCAATTTTTTTGGATTCCGCTTCTTCTTTTTTCCAATTTCTTTCAGCAGTACTAAGCAGCAGCAGCAGCAGCAGCAGCAGCAGCAGCAGCAGCAGCAGCAGCAGCAGCAGCAGCGCGACAAAAAGCCTGAGTTTTGTGTCTGTTGTTGCTGCTGCGCTGCAGCAAGTAGCAGCAAAAATAAAACAGCAAATGGGCCATTTGCCCGGAGTCAAAATTGCGGTCATGGGGTGTATAGTCAACGGCATTGGAGAAATGGGAGACGCAGACTTCGGCTATGTTGGAGGGGCCCCCGGACTCGTCAGTTTGCTGCTGCTGCTGCTGCTTCTGCTGCTGCTGCTTCTGCTGCTGCTGCTTCTGCTGCTGCTGCTTCTGCTGCTGCTGCTGCAACGGCTCAGCCCACGCGGCAAACGCCCCCCGACTCCTCCAACTCCATGTATTATTTATTTATTTATTTATTTATTTATTTATTTATTTATTTATTTATTTATTTATTTATTTATTATTTATTTATTTATTTATTGTTAGGTGGATTTGTACGTGGGCAAGCGGCTGGCGCGGCGGGGCGTGAAGAGCGAGGAGGCGTGCGAGGCGTTGATAGAGTTGGTGAAGAAGGAGGGGAGGTGGAAAGAAAAGGAATAAAAGAACGAAAAAAGAAGAAAATGAATAAAATGAAACACCGAAGTGAAGCTCTTTGAAAGCAGAATCAAAAGAGATGCAAAAAAATCCAAAAAGCAGAAAAAATGGACACAAAATAACCCAAAAAGCAAAAAATCAAAATCAAAAAGTCAAAATCAAACGGTCAAGAGGGAGGGAGGTGGCGGTAGAAGGGCATAGACAAATAAATCAAAAAGAGGAAATTAATTAATTAATTAATTAATTAATTAATTAATTAATTAAAATTTTAATTAATTAATTAATTAATTAATTAATTAATAATTAATCAATTAATTATTAATTGTTAATTAATTAGTTAATTAAGAAACATATAAATAAATTAATTAATTAATTAATTAATTAATTAATCACTTAATTAGCAATTAATTTAAAAACAAAGAAACAAGTAAGTATAATTAAGTAATTAATTAATTGAGAAAAATAAATAAATAAAATGGAGGAGACAAAGGAATGAAAAAGAAAAGAGAAAATAAATTTAAAAGGCTTTTAAGATGAACGCTCAAATATTTAAATTAAATTTTAAATATTTAAATTAAAGTTTAAAACATTTAAACTAAAATTTAAATATTTAAATTACAGTTTAAATATTTAAACTAAAATTTAAATATTTAAATTGGAATTTAAATGCTTAAATTTGATTATTAATAGTTTTTTTGAAGGACAAGACGAAGACACAAAACAGATTAAAAATAAGAAAAAAAAAAAGAAAAAAGAAAAAAAAGATAAAAGGAAACAAAAAGGAACAAAAAAGAATTGAAAAGAAGTCAAAAAGAAATAAAAACAAATACAAAGAATTAAAAAAGAGTTAAAAGGAAATAAAAAACAACTAAAAGGAATTAAAAAAAGAATTAAAAAAGACAAAAAGGTATTCTTTTTGTTTGCATGCAGAGGAAACTTTTGTTTCCCATTTGTGGGGCTTTTTGAACTTTATTTTTTTTTTTAATTTCAATTTTATTTTTTATTTCCGACTTAAAAATATTTTTTTGTCTTCTTCGAATTCTTTTAATTTCCTTTTTTCTATTTTTTTCTTTTTATTTCTTTTAATTTCTTTTTTGCTTTTTGAATTTCTTTTTTTCATTTTAAATCTCTTCTTTGTCTCCTTTTATGTTTATTTATTTCTTTTATTTCATTTTCCAATTTTTTGTTTTTTATTTCTTTTTTTGTTTTCTTTTTGTCCCTCTTTAATCCTACTTGTCTTTCTTTTATGTCTTTTTTTATTCTTTTTTTTATTTTCTTTTCAAATTTCTTTTTATCTTTTCTTTTTTACCTCAAATAAGTACTTCATTTCTAGTTTCAAAATTAAATTTTTTATTTTTTCCTTTTAAAAGAAATAAAAAGATCTAAAAAAAGCTTTTAAAGGACTAACAAGGGGCCCCTAAGAGGGCCTTTTAAAAACCTAAAAATGGCTTTTTTTAATTCCCAAAAAAGACCCAAAAGGGCCCCCTTAGGGGCCCCTCTGGGGGTCCCTAAGGGGCCCTGGGGGGCCCCCAAGAGTACCCTTTTGGGCCCCAAAAGGGCCCCCCTTGGGGCCCCCAGAGGGGCCCCTAAGGGCCCCTTAAGGGCCCCAAGTGGGGGCCCCCAGAGGGGCCCCTAAGGGGCCCTGGGGGCCCCCCAAGAGTACCCTCTTGGGGCCCTTTTGGGGCCCCGAAAGGGTACTAGGGGGGCCCAAGGGGGCCCCAAAAGGGACTGCAGACGCAGTCTCTAGCTAGCTAGCTAGCTAGCTAGCTGCTGCTAGCTAGCTAGCTAGCTAGCTAGCTAGCTGCTGCTAGCTAGCCAGCTGGCTGCTGCTGGATAGTTGGCTAGCCAGCTGGCTCTTTCTGGCTGGATAGCTAGCTAGCTAGTTAGCCAGCTAGCTAGGTCGCTAGCTGTGGCTGGCTAGCTGCAGCTGGCTAGCTAGAGAGCTAGCAGCTGCAGGCTAGCTGGCTAGCTACGGCTAGCTGCGGCTGGCTGGCTGCAGCTGGCTAGCTGCAGCTAGCTGCAGCTAGCTGCAGCCTGTAGCTAGCTAACTGCTTGCTCACTGTAGCTAGCCCAAGCTGGCTATAGCTAGCAGCCAGTAGCTAGCTAGCTGGGGCTAGCTATAGCTAGCTGTGGCTAGCTGTAGCTAGCTGTGGCTAGTTGTAGCTAGCTGCGGCTAGCTGTAGCTAACTGCGGCTAGTTGTAGCTAGCTGCGGCTAGCTGTAGCTAGCTGCGGCTAGCTCAGGCTTGCTGTGGCTAGCTGTAGCTAGCTGCAGCTAGCTCAGGCTTGCTGCAGCTAGCTGTGGCTAGCTGTGGCTAGCTGTGGCTAGCTGTGTCTTTTGGCTTTAATTTCTGCTGCTTATTTTTGTTTAAAGAACATAAAAGAAGACAAAGAGAGTCCATAAAGATAAAAAGAAATAAAAAGAAATAAAAAGAAATAAAAAAAAAGAAATAAAAAGAAATAAAAAGAGTTAAAGGAAGGACAAAAAAGAAATTTAAAAAATTCAAAAAAGTTATTAAAGGGGAAGAAGTTAAAGGGACACAAAAGGCGCAGATCGTTGCAGCAGCGATTGCTGCTGCTGCTGCCGCTGCTGCTGCTGCTGCTGCTGCTGCTGCTGCTGCTGCTGCTGCTGCAGTTGTGGTGTGAGCGGCTAGCTCGCGCTGCATTTTTTCTTTTGGTTTTTAAGTTATAAATTTAATTAATATTTGTGAAGCTGTTTGAAGGGAGCAGCAGAAGACATTGCTGCTGCTGCTGCAGCAGCAGCAGCAGCAGCAGCAGCAGCAGCAGCAGCGGCAGCAAAACTCAGCGTCGAGCCCTGCTGCTGCTGCTGCTGCGCCTGCTGGGGGGCCCTCCTGTTCACTGTTTTGTTTGTGTCTCTTTGTTTTTGATTTCATTTTTAATTTAAATGTAATTAAGGAGCAGCAAAACTTAAATGGAAGGCAGCAGCAGCAGCAGCAGCAGCAGCAGCAGGCAGATCTGCGGTTACCGCAGCGGTCAGCAGCAGCAGCAGCAGCAGCGACGGCAGCAGCAGCAGCAGCAGCAGATCGCTGGAAAAGAGGCTGTCTCCAACAAACCCTAGATCTTTTTAATGATTGATTTCACTTTTAAAACCCTAAACCCTAAACCCTAAACCCGAGCCCCGGCGCTTTGAGCCAGTCCCG